AAATGGCAGAGCTACAAGACTTATTGAAATAACACCAAATTTAATTTAGGAATCTTGAGAGAAGCGAGTCCTGGAATTAGAGAATATCTTTAGATTGGTATGACAGAAAGAGGTGATACAGAATGTCTGGGTGTAGAATACTCTGGCTCCAATGCTCAAGAAACGCTGCTGCCAAAATCCAAAAAAAACTACTGACAAATGAACCAACTACTTTTTTCTGCTGAAGTTTTCTTGCGTGTTATGGTAAACAGCATTGGAAAACCTCTTGAGAAAATCTTAATGAAGAGCAGCTTAGATTCGTGGCAGGCAGCGGATATATGGACGGAATATTCGCAATTCAACAGCTAATTGGAAAGAAGAGAATTGGTATCCAAGTTCTTTTCAATGTTCGTCGATTTTATCAAAGAGTATGACTCAATCTGGAAATATGCTGTAGGAGGTTAGTTAAATACTGAATCCCACCTAAAGTTTATTCCCATACTTGGAAAGATGTATGAACTTTCGTCAAGTGTTGTGCACATCGACGGAAGGTTTCAGAAATTCTTTGGTACAAAGTTTGGAGTAAGGTAAGGAGGAGATGAATCTCTGATGCGCATAAAATTACGATGTTTCTTAACCTCTGGGTGCTCCAGTCAAATACGTACCTAGGGTAGCCAAAGTCAACAACATCTGTGTACACTCTCTTGCATTTACGAATGATACCATATTGCTTGACGACAACAGCAAAGCCGTGACATTACCGTTTAACAATCAGACAGAGTTGTGCTGACCTAGGTCTCTCTATTAACATACACATGAGGAGGTGAACAAAAACTGGTGGAGCCCAGACCAAAGATGTCTGACCCTTGATACCGAAATTATGGAAAGTGTACCATAGCGTTTGTGTCTTGGGAGTAGGTTGGCTGCAGATCGATGAATAGACGAGTGACTTTAGAGGCGCGTACTTTGGCATTAGTTGCGAGCAACAGTCTAAGCAAGCTCTGAAAGGACAAAGACTTTGGCAACAGCAACAAGTTGTGACATATATGGCTTGAATTCTGAACATATTTCTCTATGGCCATGAGACGGTCGCACTTAGGAAGTTGACAGCGAAAATTGGAAGTGACAGAAAAGAAGATTTTAAGATCAATGGCACCGTCTGGTATCAAGAGCTGCTGCAAGAAATAGACTTTATTATCCAAGTAAACTGACAGGCTGACTGCAAGCAAACGTTTGGAACGATGGAGTCCTTTCCAATTATTGAACCATAGTCGTCTTGGAATGCCAATATTAACTGCAAAGACTGATGGCAGACTGCCGCCTGGAAGATCTTCAACAAGATTGGAAGATCTCGCTTAAAACGTGGCATCGAAGGGACCGAAAAAGCACTCATTTATTTTATCCAGTCGTCGTCGATTCAATGGGATTGGAAGAAGAAGATGCTGTAGCATGAACAAGAAAAGGGATCTATTTGTTAATCTCTCTTCTGCAACAAACGAAATTAGATTAAGATGTTAGAAAATCATGCTAAACATTATTTCTGAATATGTGTTGTACAGAATTCTCGCAGATTGATTCTTTCGTCATAAAAATGTAGTTTTGCAATACCCCGTTGCTCTTTTCGAATTTTATGGATCCAATTTCAAATTTATAAGGAATTTATTTTGTTTAGTCGCGTGCTGAAAATGGCCTCGGGTATTCATACTTTGAAGAAAGGCGCTAAGGTCAAGGAATGAAATTTGGGCTAAGGGCTTATCAACCTAATAAACTCATTATATTCAGTTGTGCTAAATAAACAGTTCCTTTATTCCTGCACAATTTACGCACTGAGCGACGAGTCTGCGATTCTGGATTGAAACCAGTTTCAGCATGAAAATTTTAGATCACAACAAAGCAGAAGCAACTGTCAAATACGCAAGGTGATGCTTTTTGTAACCAAGGAAAAAAATTTCTGCCATTCATAACAGACGTCTAAGCATGGAACAGCACTGTTGCACAGATTGCACCCAGGTACATAAAATTAAGGAAGCTGTTTAGATTTAGACACAGAATAGGCTTTTCTCAATCACTTGGCCATATAGTGGACTGCCGTGAAATTTTTTCGGGTTGAAACTCCTTTCCATGGTTAAGTAAAGGTCTGGCATCAACATTTCTCCAAGCAAATAGTACATAACTGATGATAATTTAAAAGCATCTGTTAAAGATGATATATCACTTTGAGTACTGAACAGTTTTCATGAAATTGAATAATTTTCTAATTGCCAATAGTCCATAGTTAACAATTCCATATAAAATTGAATTGCCGTATTCCAAACAACAGCAGGTGAGGAAAATTTCTAAACAACCAGCACTATTAACGAATTGATTTACACTAACTGTCGCTGGTCTACAACAATACTCTCGTAATGAATGACGATGCATATAATTATTCTGAAATTCGCCGCAATATTGCGCAGTCTGTTTGGTTTTGAATTCCCAGAGGGACCATTTTTTAGCAGGTTCACCGCCTCATAATATTTTGGCATCGGTACTGCATAGATGCAACAGAGAATCACTGAGCTGGGAACGAACTAACAAATTGAAGTTGTGACTACGCAAAATGCATGACACCACTCATAATGTTGCTTAAGCGGAAAGCGCTGTACTATTTGATAGTTCAGAGTAACACCATAAAAATGTTGGTGCAAAGAAGCTCATATTCTACTACAAATATTAATCCTATTCATGAAATAGAATATAATTGTCAGTGTAAATACCTGTACATATAAACAAAAAATATAAATTCGGTGCAACAAGCCGAAAGACAAGAATTGAGCTTGCAAAGAATAGGAAAAGTATTTTATTATGGCTAGGTTATTCCAGAAAATATGTAGGACTGTACTGTTTGATTCAATGGGGGTAAACCCCTATTTCGATTACGATATTACAAGATTAATGTATGTTTCCGTTTCAATACTTTAGTATTGCTGCATTTAACCTGCAGATCAACTAACGACACATCTCGACGCTTACTGTAGGCTGAAGTACTGCGACTGGTTAGCGCGGGAATACCTACGCTGCTGCGCTTTCGTTGACGGTGGCTTTACACGACGAATGATAGGTGTGTTTTGGCGTTGTAGCGTAACTTCATCATCGTCGTAACGGCTTCTTGCACCAACCAGCATGACGTCTTATGTTATGAACTCTGAAGGTTACATGCAACAGGAAGAGGAATGGGACCGCGAGGGTTTGCTTGACCCTGCGTGGGAGAAGCAGCAGAAGAAGGTAGATAGTTATTTTTTCTTTCAAACGATAAATTTTGATAAATTTTATGTTTCGAACCAAAAAGTCAGTCGGCAGGCCGATCAGATGTGTTTTCTCATACGATCGTTTGCCTTTTTTAGCCTTTAGTGTCCATCTCTTAACATGAGGTTGGCGTTGAGGCAAAAGTTGAAATTGAGGCTTGTAACCGGCGAAGTCATGTTTTGCGACGATTTGTTTATTTGTGATTTGTTTGTTCGCAACGCGAAACGAAGGCCGTCGTCATTTCGTTGACTCGTTCGCTCAGACTGCCGTCCGTCATCGTCATCGTCTTCGTCTTCGTTTGCCGTCGGTTATCAACGCATAAACATTCTAACTTATTATAGCCGTTTTTTGCGGCTACTTTACGCACGACCAAGGTATGTGCGGGATACGTTTTTGCGCCGGCTTTCATAGGTGCTGGCATTCTTAGCTTCACGTCTTCCAACCGACCGAACATCGAGCAAAATTATCATCGCCTCCTCTTCCTCATCCGGAGGTTATTATCCGCCTGTCTGTTCATTCGTCTTCGCTCTTCCTGTTGTCGTCGTGTGACGTGCTGTTGAGGCGGCTTATTCGTGTTGTAAATATTTAGATCTAATGGGGGGGGGTGGTGAGGAGGAGGGAAGTTAGGTGATGTAGATGGCGGCGGTCAAGTTTGCCATCGTATGCTCTCCTCTTGTTAGCAGTCCGTAAATATGTTTCGCTGTCTTCTAGTTTTTTTTTTAAATTTGCCTTAATGCCTTGTCATCTATCAGGAGATTGGGGAAGGTAAGCTATCTGGATATGGGCTATAAGGTTGTAGTTTTGCCATGTATCAGGAATTGAGTCAACTCGTACTACAGCCGAAAAGTGCCAGCACCCGACAGCATGTCTGTACGTCTCGCATGCTTTGGCATGATCACACTAAAGCACCATGCTGTCTCTATTATTTGCCGGGTCACTCAAAGCACAGTGCTCAAGAAAATTGGCAATTTATAAGCAAAAATCCACGCCGCTTTTTGCGTTTGAATCTGGCACTCTGACGGGAAATGCTGTGTACCAATTTAACCACTGCCCCCCCCCGCAATGTGAATGTGGAATATGGTTGTGGTGGATGCTATATTTCGGAATATTACAAACGGAAGATCAACACATAATTCTTTGTTGTTTTATTCCTATAAACGAACATTTCAAACCAAGCTGGCTCCCCTCCTTCAGAGTTAAAACTATTTTCCTCGTCGTTTATGATGCCCTACGTGTGGAGCAACGCTCATTGCAAATGCCAATAAGCCTTCTCTTGACCATGCCCTTTAAATTTTGGGCGAGTCAGTAGTAGATTTGGCTGCATTCGTCCTGAGAGAAAAATAAACAATACCTTCATAATGTTTTTGATCACCCCGAACGACTTCGTTAATACCATTCATTATGTATGCGTATATGTTTTGTCATGGCGAGCGGCAGCTGAAAAGTAAATCGGTTGCTGATGGTTGCAGAATTGATTGATTGACCCCCTCTTCTTAATGTTCAGGACTCATTCGTAAGCCTTCATCTCCTGGCAAAGGACAAACCGTTGATTACCGCGTCGCGCCGATTGGTTTCTAGCCTCGACTGATAGTTGGTGGATGCGAAGTAGGGCTACCTGAAAAAGCCCTCGGTGGCCGGCATTGCATTCCACTCAGTGCTGCACGGATGCTTGGCTTTGCTGCACTGCTGGAATAAATAGTGCTAGCGGCTGGCGAACGATGACGGCCGATGCTTGTTTAGAGTTTTGAGGGCCTGGCCTGCCTGACGCTCACTCGTCTTCGTCGACATGACGAACGACGGCGCCCGGCTGCTTAAAATACTTTCCATCGTCGTCGCTGCAAGGATGTGCCTCAGCAGCCGCTCTTTCGCATCACTCGTTCCTCTCATTCACTTACTCGCCTCTTCCTCCTACTACTGCAGCTCACTTTCGTTACCTTGCTCCAGGCGATGCCGCCAACTCTCAATTTCTACCCACTACAACAGCCACTCCTCGACGACCAGTTGGTCAGAACTGCCTGCACTTCAAGCCGTTCGTCATCTTTGCCCTCGCTGTTTATTGTTGCTCGTTTCAATGGAATATTGACGACGTCGTCAGCCGTACAGATCAAAGGGAGGGCAGTTTGTGCCAGTAAAAACACGCACCGGAAACGGTCTGGCACGGTCCATGGGATGCTGTATTTTTTTATCCTTTCCTCAGAAAATTACCCTCACCGAAATTATTCTACTACGTTTTATGAGAAAAGATGTTTGTTCATAAATATATCACACAATGTAACATAGTGCTTAACTCTTCCAGGACCAGATTTCACCGCTTATTCCACTGTCCTCCCCTTTCCTTGTTCCTGATTGTCTAGGAGGACCATTTAAGCAGGCCACGGTCCCATGATGTTTTAGCAATGACAGTGTCAGATGTATCTCGATCATTTTATTTGTCACAGCCACCTAGCGCTCCTTACAAACAGTGTTCCAGGACCTGGTACCAATTTTATGCTTTTTCATGAACATCATATGTTGTTCGTACGCCTGAGTTTGTTAAATGACGAATGACTCCTCCAGAATCAGATTTCACCATATATTGCATCGTCCTCTTCCTCTTTGTTGCCCAAAGGAAACCATTCAGCATATTTTGATATATGCAATGTAGTTTCACTTCGACAGTTTTACAGTCGATCATTTAATAATAAGGGGAAATCTACTACCATAATTTTCAACCACGTCTACAGTTATGGTCTTAAGAGATTTCGGAATCAGTATTTCGACAAATCAATATTCGTATTTTCCGTTATAACTCAATAAAATGCAAGTGACGCCATAGTTACGAATTTTTCTTATTAAATTCAATGTAATCTCTCGTGGGTCAGTAAGACAACACGAAGTTACAACGGATAAAGCGAATGAACAGCAAGTGAATGATTTCCAAGAAAATACACAAAGGAACAACAAAAACCTTCAATATGATGATAAGCGAAGTTACATTTGAACATTGAATTGTCAGAGAATTGAGTCATGATCACGTTCAAGATTGAATAGTCATGTGACGATGCGTTTCTGACTGACTGTTGCTTAAACCAGCAGGTAAGCATAGGATATTTTCGATCGTCCAATATTTTTACACCAAGCGAGATTGCGGAGTGGACCACTTTTCCAAAGATAACGTCCACTTCTTCCTTCGGATCTAAATTACCGTCTGAAGCTGCCATTTTCATGACTCTCTTCCACACGGATATTTCCTTCTGGGTCAAGTTATGGGTGCAGATTAGCGCTGTATATTGCCTTATGAGCTGTACCTGTCTTCGTGAAAGACTGCAGAACATTTGACAATTTTTGAACGTCTCTACCTCCAGAGGAGCGAAGCAGCTGTGCATGTTTTTGACTAGACTCGCAACGTGCTTTCCTCACTACATGCTGCTTGTCCTCCAAAATAACTCCAAAGTGTCTAACTTTTGGTTTTCTGCAGAACACTTCGCTACTGACGGCTGGGAGGTCTGATTTTGACCTACTTTTAAAACCACTTTGAATTTTTTAGACAGGTCGGAGTAAAGATCTGTCATCAGCATACTTTATCGAGGTAATTCCCATCTGGTTTCTGTAGTTGCTGGTATGGAAGGCAAACAACAAAGCAGGTGACAGCTCTAAGCTTTCGACAATTTAAATTTACAAAGTTTCCAACTCGGTAACTGAATCTTCTTGTTCGAACGCATTCAGCAATATAACAAAGCGAGGATCGACTCTGGCATCCATCAAACTTTGCATCAGACTACCGTGCTATCGTATGACTGTTGTTTGGAGAGTACGCATGTGCGGAATATCATTTTCACTACATCTGTTGTTGTTTGGTTTCTCCACCTTTTCGACACAAATTGCTTTAAACATGACACAAGATTTTCTTTTCTCTGTTAATTCGACGTTTCGGCTTATTGCACAAAAGTCATGTTTAGGAATGTTTAACAAACAGTGATACAGTAGACAGGTGGATAATGAAGTCTAAAAATATCCGTGATGACAGCTTCTGTACCGGAAGCAGAAAGGTTGAATTAATAGAGGAAGGAAAATCATACGTTTCTTTGGGTCGTGCCTTTTATCCCTGAATCTGTTCATCTGTTTTGCACTATCCGTACTGTAGCAATAATGTCCAAGTAATCGTTTGTCTGATTATGATTTTACCTGAAGAAACGCGTCTTTAAAGTAAACTTAGGCAGGTTTTCAGTGTTTGTTTTTTTCTGCCATAGAATGAGAAAAAATCATGGATGAATTAATGGCTGGGCTCTGAATCAAGAGCAGTTTGAAGAACTGTGTTTATAATATGATACAGTGCATCTACAACCCTCTTACTTCACATCATTAAGCTTTATTTTTCATAATCAATGACAGTGCGATCATTTGTTCACACGGATAAAGATCTGAAGATGTAAGTCTGGAAAACTATATAATGCTGGATTTCACAGGTATCTATATATTGTCCAATGGTGCTAAATCCAAAGGACTTTTCTTTCCGTTAGCTGATCTCATCTGTTAAATATTGTCCAAATGTTCTTGCATCTTACCGATCAGTTTCAATCTCTGCTTATGCAACATTTGCCCGCCATGGTGAAAAAGTTGTATTATGATGTGGGAACGTTCGACATTCGGCATGACGTATTGCTTAGTTCTTTCTTTGAACTCATGTGATAAATTCGTGAATTGGATTTTCTTTAAGACATTCTAATTTTAGAGGATCGATGATTTTAAGTCCATCTTCTGTTTCCGTTACTTCATATTATTTTCTTCATGTCATACGGCAGTATTTGGACTTCTGGATAAAAATTCTTTTTCTGTGCTGTTGTCTTAGGTTAATTTTTGTCTTTAGATGAAAACATTGCTTTTGAAACTAGATCAAATTAAATTCGAGAAATATTTCTGAACATTGTTTGACAGCCTCATATCTTACTCACAATTTCTGAATGTGCCTCCCCAGCTCTGAAATGTGTTTGAATTTGAAACCCAGTCCAGCCTTGTAAAAGCTCTTCAAAATTGGTGCCTATGAAATCCAGCAATTTTATATTCAACAGTAGTCTTTTTAAACTTCACTCACTCTTCTTCCACTCAAGGTTATTAAATGACTACCACCTTCTAAGAAGGAAACTGAAAACACGCTGCGATTATCACATGACTATACACTCTGCCTTTAAAACATAAGGCACTTCTGGCTGATGCCATATGAACGAAGATCAGCACTTCACCGTCAACGTAATGAAAAAACGTCGTCAAAATTACCCAATCAGGAAAGTAAAGGAAGACCAACATTCCAACGATCATAAACTTTCCTTCCAAAGTTTTTTGAGAGTGACTTGCGAAATCGTATTTTCCTATTCACTGTAAAAGTTTTTAATCTTTGTCAAACTTCCGTTTTATCCAGCTTCTCAAGTTCAATCACAAATTGGATTTTAAAATAGAAGTGCTTGAGAAAGTACGGCAGGGGAAGCTACAACGACTGTAATTAAGGCATAGCCTTTGTAGAAGCCGCTGTTACCAAGGGACCTTTTTTAAAGTGGGCTTTTCGTCTTATCCACATCTTCAGCGTTT